GAATAGTGAAAGCAGGATACAGGCAATTGAGAAGGTTCGCCATAAATTTTTTTCGATCCCCCAGCATTTCAATTTTTTCATACAAAAGGCAAAGGCATCGCAGTGTATGTCACGGCGATGTGTTTGGCAAATAAAAGGAATGGATGCGTTGAGGTTTTCTTTCAGGAGGAGCAGAATCGAAGAGCAGTCCAAGAAGCAAAGAAACGGGAGGAACTAGCTGAGAGAGGCACATCTGTGAAAATTCTGAAGCATGGAAAAGCGAAGCGCAAAGATACAACTAGGTGGGTCTTTTCCGGAGGTTCCCAGAAGTCAGGTTTAATCGGAGAATGGCCTGCCCCTTACTTAGACCGTATGTTCACCAAGCACACTTGGCTCCATTTTTGAAGCTTTGAGAGGATGCTATTTACATTCTCCCCCCCTCCCACCTCCTCTATATGCCTGCTCTCCAAGAGTGAAGAAGATCGAAACATCGCATCAAGCATGGGTAGCTGGGGCCTCTATGAGTGGGCACCGCTTTTCTCCATGCAATTTCTGTTTGTTGCAGCATTTCCCAGGCTTTTCGGGTTCGAGGGGCCTTGTTCTGCCCTCTCAAGCGCACGCTCCGCCCACACCAGTTGATAGTTTTTTAAAGCTGACCTGTTTATCCCTTCCCAAGTTTCCTTATAAATCCACCCTGTCTCAAAGCTAGCTATCTGAAAGACATTTTCATGATAAATGATGGCTTCCATGTTCAGATTACTGGTGAACACAAATCGAGAACGAAGTCCAGGTGGAACTGATTCGACGATTATCAGTCCGTGTCTCATAAAGAGAATGTAGGTCCCGAAGCATGCACAGACCGAAAGGATAAGTACAGCTATTAATCGATTCAGATCACCAGCGGTACGGGAAGAAACGGTTTCTGATATGGAATTCGAATCAACAGTATGGCGTGAGAATATCGAGCTGATCGGCGAAGAAAAACTAGAAGCCGCTGATTTGTTCATAGAAGAAGAGGTACTACCGCGTTCGCTGAATTGTAATGGCAGTCGTGCGTCCCGCCGACGCGGCTGCGCATACTCACAACGTTCACATCAAGGTTCACTTAGGGTGCTATGGCATCTCCACAACAGTGCGAAGAAAATGTCAAGCTTCTTGTTGCACGAAACATTGATTTTGTGACAGCCGTGGACGCCCCTGGCGCGGCCCTGTTTGTAGCCTTTATGGCGTTCAGCCTGAAGATGTGTTTTCTCAATGCTGCTTTCATTACTTTCGACGACTTTGAACCATTTGTCGCCCACCATTTTGACTCAATCTTAACTTGCTGCAATTTTCTTAATTCGTCCACAAAAAGGTTGTGATGGCAGTGTTTTAGTACTCGCGACGACAGTCGTTTCCGGTCGCGCGTTCGACGCGATCGATCGCATGTTTTCGACCGCGCCGACGCGCGACCGAAGCGCTACCGTCGCGAAGTCTGAACGCTGCCTGATATTCCAAATTTTGCAAGCCGTGCAGGCATATTGCAACATTCAGGCTAAACAATTACGCGTCTAGGTCGCTCGACTCGCGAACTATGAATGCAGCCTTAGATAAGACCGCGCTACTCGAATTGTCTCTGCCCGCGCATGGATTGAAATCGACAAAAACGGGCGCAAAACGTGTACTAGTCAAGGGCCACACGAAATTTCCGCGCGCGGCGAGCTGAATTTCTTGTCCGCTGGTCAAAAGTGGAGCATAAGTTCGTGTCAGGAGAACCGAGTTGCGGCAGCGCAGCGTCGCAAGCGACGCAGCGTGTACGGAATTCGCCCCAGGAACTGAACTGATTCGTTGCAAAAGCGCCACCCTCAATAGGTGAGTGCGTGCGCCACGTTAGATTGGTAACTGCGTGTGTCGAGGTACTGTCAGCGTGTCGCCGCAACCCGGATCTCCTGACATTGTTCTACCTAGTTACTGTATTTATGCAGGAAATGATCGGGAAGTTTACTTCTGACCCATTCATTGCAGGAGCGCTGCAGTTCCTCGTTGATGGTATCCTCACCTTCAACACAACCGGCACCATTACCATCCCTTGAGCAACTTCTTGGCCGAATACCTTTGGCCAATCGAGTTACTGTTGATGTTGGTAAGGATCTGAGGCTCTCTTTCTCTCTCTTTTTCTTCAGCTTTACGAAATCTCTCCTTTCCAGGAGTGTCGCATCAGTCAATGCTGCAATCCCTTCATGACGTGTTCGCCAGCCAAAAGTCAGACAGTGAGACGCCGATTTGCGAAGAGCCTAATGTGCTAGCAAGTGTAGTGAAAATAGCCCAGAAGAAGCAGGGCGTGCCCATAGCGCTCACCAAGACAGAACCCAAAGCCCCCGAAGAGACCCCGGATTACCCAAGAAAGGTGAAGAAGGAGCGTCGACGTCGGAAGAAGCGCAGCGGCGAGCGGGCAGAATTAGAGGCTGATGTTGCGAGTGTGGACGAGGCGATGGCTCTAGCCGAAACAGCTCCGGTTCCAAACGTTCCCTATATACCCAGTCGGGTTTTTAATGAAAGTGAAATGGCCCTGAAAAAATTGGGATCATTTGAGGCTAAGGAGAAAATGCTACGCTCGCTGAGGGAGAAAATACGTAAAATCCGATGAAAGTTCATGAAAATGATTG